GCTGGTATTCCATTGTTTGTATTAATATATCAGATCTTTTGTTTAAATTGAAATTTTCATATTTATATACCATGATAAGTGAATATACTTGTAATTATTTACTCAGAACTGGGCTTATTTGTAGATGTACTTGTCATCGGCCTGAAGGATGCCATGAGCATTGGAATGCTAGAAAATGTTTTCCTTGCAAAGTGTGTAATAAACCGACTAGCTCTAAACCTGGCCTTTGTAGAAAGCATGCTAATGGATATATTAATAGACTTCAGAAAAAGGCTCAGGAGCTTCTACTTTATAAAAATTAATATCACTATACCAGAATAACGATGCAGACACAAATTTATCATCATTTGAGTGACGATACAAGTGCAAATTTATATCCTACTATAATAAAAATGTTATCTTTTTTGATATAAATTTGAGTAAATAAATGTGTTCTAGATATAAAAAAATTTACACCACATTTTTATATCAATTTTATATAGATGTAAAAAAATAATATAGAATATAAACTTGCAAAGACGTGAAAATATCAAGTTGACTATTTTGGTACCCTAGGTGTAGAAAAAGTGTCACAGAACTCCCATTTTTATCCTACTTATATCTAGAAGATGTATAGCTTTACCAGCAAATATATGATAAGCATCTTGCAGTGATTGTAAATATCTGTCCTAATAAAGAGTATCAAAAACTGGCTTTGCATTAAGTCTATATTTACTAGATAGTTGTTGACAAGCAGAGTCTGTTTGTTGCTATGCAATTTCATTATATTGTATATTAGTTAAGTGGTGAAAACATGCATTCACATCAAAGTCAAAGCTAGAGTTTGTTAATTAGCTACTAGATACAGAACAAGTTTTGCAACTATAATTTGCATTATGTCTAAGTATACTAGCAAGGTCATTACCTTGGGTAAATCGGCTGTAACACAGCCAAGTCTACCAATAAGCCATATTTCTCCTTCCAATATATTTATAATTTTTTCATATTATAATTGGCAAATATTATCAAGAATTGGTTTAATAAAATTTTTAAATAAAGCACCAAATGGAACAAAGTCAAGTAGAAAATAATTTTTAAGTAGCTTTCATAAATCAAGTGGCATATTTCCAATAACTAAATAAACTTCTCCTAATAAATGATATGAATTACGAAATGTCCTAAAATCATTGAAGTAGATATCAAGAAAAACCTTTTAATAGGTATTGGTCATGGTGGTAATAGTAGAATAGGTATATATTCATAAGGAGCTCTGTGCCTTTTAGTAAGGTCACAAATATGCCACCAACTATTAAAACTATATAATATTTTAGTTACAAAATATTTATATTCTACTAGCCTATTAAGATCCTTTAACCAAACATTTATTTGAGTAATATTTTCAGGTATAATCAAACACTCTTGTCCTTCAACAAGCCAAAGTTCTTTCATATTTATTTTACATGCTTTTCTATTTATACTACGCAAGTGTCCAGGAAGCCTATTATATGGAACAAGCAAATCAGCTCTGAGTAGTTGCCTCTTATTAACTTTAATAATACTATGAATACATGCAAACTTAATTGCATTGTCTTGGTGATAATATAAAAAATTGCCTACTTGATAAGTAATTAATAAAAAAAGACTAATTAGTATGATAAATCAGAGTGCTAAGTTTTATTATATAACATCTCTAATATACTATACTAAAATAAAAAACTGCTAACTATTATTTACACAAAGTTTAGTTTCTCCAAATAAAGGTGAGTTCTGCCAAAGTGTATCATACCAGAATTCACGTTTTTCATCACATACAATACCAGGGCCAAAATATAAATTAGACGCAATTGTTAGATTATTAAGAATATATTCAATATAATCTACTGGCATTATTGAATATGCAGATTTAGTTGAAGCTGAATTTGATGGGGTATGCTGTCTAGAAATTGGAACTGTATGACTCCAAACCTTAAGCAATAGAAGTCTATTTCTCTATTTGCGAAAATGTCTTATATTTGCAATAACATGTTCAGGCTGAAATTCTGAATATTTAAGAATTTTGACAAGGTCTTCATAGACTGCTATAGAAATCATATGCTTTGTAATCCATAAAAAGAGCATAGTAAATATAAAATTTGAAAAATATGGACTGAATTTTCTATTAAATTCTTTAAAAGATTGTGATTGGCTCTCCAATAGTTTGTATTATTAGGTATTCTGCACTGTATTATTATCTGAATTCGTCAAATCATTATCATTATCTTGCAAATATTTTTCATAATTCTCCAAATTATTCAAAGTTATATAATCATATAAATATTCTGTCTCATTATCCTCCCAATCTATATTGTCAAATAATTGCTCTTTCTGATTATTCTTTCAATTATATAAAGAGTCTTCTTCATTAATAACCCAATCTATATCTGATTCACTTGAACTTTCACTAGAATATTGATCTAATTTGTTTGATTCATTTGAGTATTGTTCTGAATTGCTTAAATCATTTGAATGTTCATTTAATTTTTCTGAGTTGCTTAAATTTGAAAATTCATCTAATTTGTTTGCTGATAATTTATAAATAATAGGCAAGGACCTTTTATAACTTTTGGTTGGCTTTGTATAAACACGAAGAAGAGGTAAGAGAGTGTAGATTTGTTTTATTCTATTACGTCGGCTGCTTATATTAAGGTCAATTTCTATTTTTTAATTTAGTAATTGCAGATAAATTCATCGTATTATGTATTATTAACTTTTAATCATATAGTAATCCTCTTATTTTCTTACCGGCGATATCTTTCTCTTGATCAACTTTATATATAGCAAGAAATGTCTTTATTACTTTGTTTAGAAAAAGATCTATTACTAATCATCATTATTCAATTTATACTTTCCTTATTACAAATTAAAATATATGTAACTATATATATTTTCTGCATACTTTAAAATAAACTTTGCATACTGTATACTTCAAAGACAAGTATCACATGATGATTGCTTTTTTCTAATTATATACTGATTACATACGTATAGTTTTCTTAAATTTCCAATGTATTATATATATTTTTATCAAATTGGAATCAGAATTAGACTGGGCATTTGTAAATTACTGGCAGAATTAGAGTGATTAGTTTTAAAGTAACAAATCTTGTTAGCCAGAAGGATGATAAGAGTATTTGAGAATAAAAAGATATTTAATTTGCACTAAATCAGAATAAAATATGCAATAGTTATAATTAAGGATAGTTGGATCACCGAGTGAAAGGCTACATAAAGGAAGGTTTTACCTAAAGGATTGATGAAGTTGCATAGACAATTATCTTTGGTCTTAAAAATCTAGACTAATTTGTGATACAATATATGTATATACTAGTAGTCGCTACATATCACTATATAGTAATTATTTAATACTATTTTAGAAATAATCTTGATCTAGAAAACATTGTGTTGCAAATATTGATGCAGTAAATAATTTAAAATTTGTATGCATGTTCATTGTAAAACAGGTCCCTAAACTATACAAGTATCTACTTTTCTGCAACTTTGATTAGTTAAAATAAGGTTCAACCAATTAAAGTTGCAGATTTTAGATAAAATTTGTAAAAATTTTTATTAGAACCAATATAACCTCTATTAGTATTACTATATTCGGGCCCTATATAACTTAAATGAAAAAAAAAGATATGAGTGCGTAAGATTAAAAACCTGGAAATAGATTTAATGATTTACTATAATTGGTTGCAGGTATTTAAAATCATGCACTCATGTAGAATAGAAATTAGCAGAATGAACCTAAAGTATTTGTTTGTTATTACAAAGGAATAATTATAGAATAATTATAGAGTACTAATAAAAAAAACATTTTAAATTCATTTTCTTCACCTTTAACAA